CCCCCTTTCCCTCCCCATAGCCCCATCTCCCCTTCTCTCACTCTCTCTCTCTTCTCCTTTTCTGTTCTCTCCCTCCATATTTTTCTAATTTTTTTTCTTTTATTTCCTCCTCCTCCTCTCTCTTTCTTTTCTTGGTTGCTCCTTTGTCCCCTTTCTCCTGCCTTTTCATTCATCTTCCACCTCGAGGAGCTGCTCTATTTTTACAGAGCAATTTTCGGTTTTCTTTCTCTCGTTCTGCTACCTTCCCTTCTCCCCTGTCTTGGGCTTTTGGTGGAGCTGGTCTTCTTTCAGTTTGAGCCTGTTTGGCTGTGTCTGTGGCTCTCTTTGAGAGTTGGGTGCTTCTCCCTCTGTGGTGTCTGCTTGTGCCTTATACTCTGTGCTAAGATTAAATGTCTCATGCCAATTTTGTGTCCTTCGTTCTCCACCAAACAACCCCTTCAACCAGATTTATTTCTTCCTCAACTTCTCATCCTCTTTTTGCCTTATCTTTTTTCTGGATCTGGAATCTCCGTTGGGATACAACAACCATATCTATAAGCGCTTTGTCGCTCATTTCTAGGATTGTATTTAGAGCTTTTGCTACGGTTCTTACTCTGGTGCTTGCACCAATACTCTCCACTCTCTTGGTGTCAGTCTTTTGGTATATACCTTGGTGTTGTGATTGGTTGTTTTCTCTTAGGTGCATTGGCAGATTTAGGTGTGATGGAGAAGGTGACTTTTAGAGGAACATTCGAGGGTTGATGTGTTTCCGATTTTTGGGGAATATCTGTTTTTGGTGGAAGATCGGTGGGTCTCTATGTGCAGCAATGCTGACCTGTGTGGTGGTGGTGTATCCCCTCCTTTGTGGCCATTATGGTACGGTCTCCATCCCCTTTGCGGAAGATGGTGGCTTTGTATTGTATTTTGGTTTGATTTTGTGATGGGGAAGACTATTATACTAGACTGTACTGGTTTTAGTTTAATCTTCTCTGTGTTTGTGGCATTTTGTTCCTTTAGCTGGCCTTTTTGGCCTTTGTATTCTTTGTTTGTTTCCTCCCCATTTATGGGTTTTGAATGAACATGATTGATTCCGACCAAAAAAAAAAAAGGCTCTTTGTATAGAAGCACGTAAAAAGTTTTCAAATGATAAAAGCATTAGCAATTGAATCTGCGCAAGATCCTTGCACTCTTTTTATTTACAAGTTTTATGAGGAATATCCAAAAGAAATTGTTGATGCACGACTTGTTTTCTTTTGACCACTTGTTTAGTTCGATGAAATATCATAAAAAATGCGGATATCATCTAAACTTTGTGTATCATCATCCAAATCAACACCTTCATTAACAAAAATTTTAACTACACCCAATTACTCATAAATTACATGTTTCGAATACAAATGAATCCACCAGAGGAAGGCTATCAAAAGGAAATTAGCAATTTTGGGTGATCTTAGAGCAAGTGCAGCGCAACACACTAACTTGGGCAACATGCCCCCCATGCCAGAGTTGGACCTCCAATGCGCAAAAGGAAGCACAGGCAAGCCCTGGGACCCACCAGCCCGGGCAAGCCCAAGGGCAATTCTGGACTGGGCTCTTGCCCGAAGTTACTGACGTCAGCCGTGACGTCACGCTAACATCAGCAGTTGAAAATCAAATTTTTTTTACAGCCCCCAACGGGAAGACGCCAAGTAGCGCTTCCTGGATGCTTCGATCGAACTTTTTGCAGAATTCGACACCCTAGATTTTTTTGGCTAAAAAAATTGCAAAAAAATTTGATTTTTTAAATTATAACAATACCAAAAAAAAATCTGTATTTTTTCCCTATAAATACCTAACAATTTTATTCACTTTCCATACTAAGGGCCAGTTTGGCATTGTTGTGCTGTGAAAATAATCGCTGTAAACCCTTTCACTTTCACTTTTTTTTTTTTTGGTATTAAATATGTTTCCATCACACCCTAAAAATTATTTTAATTATAAAATAAATAAATTATTATGTTGAAAATTAAATATTTGTATCCAAATGCTCTAAACTAATATTTCAAGTTAAATCCAATATATTCCATTAAAAATAAATATTTTGTCAAAAAAACAAAGAAACAACGAAACAAAGAAATAAAAATAAGAACATAAAAAAACATTTAAACATATAAAAACCAACAGCCACAACTATTGAAGTTAAAACCTTAGAAATTAAAGAGAGAGTAAAGAATGGAATTTCTAGTTAAAACCCTACAAATTAAAGAGAAAGATGGAATAATGAAATTGAGAAGAAATAAACATAATATGACTCTTACCTGAGTCTTGGGGCTTCTCAAGAGTGTGCTTCAATTGATTCAACAAGAAAAAATAATATGAAGAATAGAAGATATTCAAGAGAAAGAGAAAAAGCACGAAGAGAAGAGATTGCGTGAAATAGATTGGGGTATTTTCGGAAGTTTGTAAATTTCATTAAACCCAGCGCTTCTTCTAAACTGATTCCCGCATAATTAGAAAATGAAAGTACCTCATTAGCTGCTTTCCCTTATAGCTTTCTCTCACATCAATTTTTAACAATAAGTGATTTTCTCATAGTTTACCAAACAAGCTGAGCTTCCCAATTTTTTTTTAAAATCACTTATCACCCCAAATAAGCAATGTCAAACAGGCACTAAATCTTCATACAAAATTTTCTCCTTCCAATATTTTTTAATTTCCACTCTCATTTTTCTACTACTTTCCATTTAATGTAACTTTTTTTTCTTGCATATTCCTTTTTTTTTTCTTGCATTTCCAATTTGTTTATATTTTCTTGCATAATCATATATTTTTTTTTTTGCATTTCCAATTTAATGTAACTTTATAATAAATAGTGACACGTGGCAACCGAAAATATTATCTGAAAAGCTTATCAAAATTAGTGGTTTAAGTATAAAAAAAATATAAAATAAAGTAAAGTGAATAGTGTTTGCCCTTGCCCTTTGGAGTGGAACAAAAAAAGTCAAGGCTGCCACTATTCACGTGAATAATGTCAAACTTTGCCTTGCCCTTGCCTTGTCCTTGCCTTTTGGGGTGGAAGTGCTCTTACTATATTAGGGTTAGCTGTTTATGCAGTTGGGCTTCAACCCAGCGAATGATCCCATCTCTTAAGTTCCTTGGGTGCTGTCGTTTGAATGAAGTAACAGAAGCGGCAACATAGGTGCCTACAAACCAACATGCTGCTGGGGTGTGATTGAACCATTAGAGGGGCCATGTAGACCAAGTTTACCCAAAGAAAAAGTGAATGGTTTACCAGCAATGGAGTTGAGGGGCCCAATGAACTTTGTGTGGCTCAAGAGCCCAGGTACGTGTAATATTTATCAACACAAAATTTACACGTATAAATTTTTGGAAAATTTTATTTCCACCTCCCAATTTATTGAAGGCAATCTATTTACTAAAACCATTCCCCTGCATACTTTTAAATTCATGTATTAACCCTAAACCCAACTTAACAGAAGATTTTACACTTCCCTGATTTCAGTCCACACACTAATACTCCAATGATATTTATTAGTCGACCCTTGCCAAAATTTACCTGTTCATGCTTCCTAAGAATGAATGAACTTGTTGAGAAGAGAAAAGAATGAACTTGAATGGTTCATAATTTTTTTTTTGGGTAAGATCTTTGTTGTTAAAAAGAATACAAGTATTTAATAGATGTAAAGAATATTATTAGCCCTCCTGTGCACATGAAAAGAGTGCGTGCGTGCACAGCACTGAGAAGTTGGCCTTAAAACAAAAAAACCTATTTGGAATAGCAAAGAACCTAGTACTAACACTGTTTATATTTGGTAAGGGCCCAAAAGAAGCACAGTATAGCCATCCCTGTCCTGTATAAAACCCAAAGGGAAAAATGTCCAAATTTGATCAAGAACTTGAACAGAAATTCTGTATATCTTCTCCATTTCAAGAGTTTGTAGGAACGAACTTTAGCTGCCATGTGATATAACCAGCTGTGCTTTGATTATAATACAAACACTCTTCCTTGTGCCCAAACCCATAATGAAGTAAACAACTAAAGCAACGAGCACCATAAGGCCAAAAATTGCCACAAGAATCAAACTGTGACCCTCCAAAATCGAACCCTAATTCATTGCAGTCAAATGTGTGGATCATGATGGTCTATTAGTATTAGGCCTAGCAAATAACCTAGTCCTATTATATTTGGTAAGGGGCCAAAAGTGGAGCCTAAGAAGCACAGCATAACTTCCCTATCCTCCTAATAAAACCCATTGGAAATATGTCCAAATTGGATCAAGAACAACGTGTAATATTTATCAACACAAAATTTACACGTATAAATTTTTGGAAAATTTTATTTCCACCTCCCAATTTATTGAAGGCAAACTATTTACTAAAACCATTCCCCTGCATGCTTTTAAATTCATGTATTAACCCTAAACCCAACTTAATAGAAGATTTTACACTTCCCTGATTTCAGTCCACACACTAATACTCCAATGATATTTATTAGTCGACCCTTGCCAAAATTTACCTGTTAATGCTTCCTAAGAATGAATGAACTTGTTGAGAAGAGAAAAGAATGAACTTGAATGGTTCATAATATTTTTTTTTGGTAAGATCTTTGTTGTTAAAAAGAATACAAGTATTTAATAGATGTCAAGAAAATTATTAGCCCTCCTGTGCACATGAAAAGAGTGCGTGCGTGCACAGCACTGAGAAGTTAGCCCTGGGACAGGTGGAAGTAAAAGGCTTAAAACAAAAAAACCTATTTGGAATAGCAAAGAACCTAGTCCTAACACTGTTTATATTTGGTAAGGGCCCAAAAGAAGCACAGTATAGCCATCCCTATCCTGTATAAAACCCAAAGGGAAAAATGTCCAAATTTGATCAAGAACTTGAACAGAAATTCTGTATATCTTCTCCATTTCAAGAGTTTGTAGGAACTTCCTTTGGCTGTCATGTGATATAACCAGCTGTGCTTTGATTATAATACAAACACTCTTCCTTGTGCCCAAACCCATAATGAAGTAAAAAAACTAAAGCAACGAGCACCATAAGGCCAAAAATTGCTACAAGAATCAAACTGTGACCCTCCAAAATCGAACCCTAATTCGTTGCAGTCAAATGTGCGGATCATGATGGTCTATTAGGCCTAGCAAATAACCTAGTCCTATTATATTTGGTAAGGGGCCAAAAGTGGAGCCCAAGAAGCACAGCATAACCACCCTATCCTCCTAATAAAACCCAAGGGAAATATGTCCAAATTGGATCAAGAACAAATCAAGTAGTGTGTGAGATATCGGGTGTGTGAGAATATCCTCTCTTTAATTATGACGAACAAAAAAATAGTGGGAAAAAACACATTGGATATTTTTTATTATATATTAATTAATGTAAATGTAAATAGATTTATCAAAATCATTTTAGCATTATTTAAATTATCTTAAATAATATGCATAACTTCCCTATCCTCCTAATAAAACCCATTGGAAATATGTCCAAATTGGATCAAGAACAAATCTAGTAGTGTGTAAGATATCGGATGTGTGTGAGAATATCCTCTCTTTAATTATGATGAAAAAAAAAAGTAGTGGGAAAAAAACATTGGATACTTTTATATATATATAAAAAGATTGCGGTTCTTCTATTTATTAATGTAAATGTAAATAGATTTATCTTAAATAATATGATAAATAAGACCTTCAAAATGAGACTATAAATCAGGGTTTAAAATTGTGAAGTCTCATAGCCGTCCAAGAAATCTTTCCACCGACAGTGTCATGACCAAAACTCCTTTTCCTTTTCATCGACATGCACCGAATTTCTCTGCCAAGTTTTCAAACTAACTTCCAAACTTCATACTCGGTGATTCAACAAATGAAAACGATCGCATCAATAGCATAGTGACACAATGAATAATCGATTTGCATTTCTTTCTTTTTTTTAAATTTCTTTAACATCACACATAACCCCAAATTGTGTTTTATAGTGAATGACTCAAATTAAAATCATTAGATGATTTAAAGACTATATTATCCTATTTTCAAGATCCTAATATTTTCAGGTACGGGTTACGGTATCAGTCGAGGGGGGGGTTCGAGTTCGAGTTCGAGTTAAGTGGTTGTATTTCTAAATTATGAGGGTATGCAGTATTTTTTGAATGTTTCAATGCAAGAAGAAAAAAAGTTTAGTTTTGTATAAATTTTGAAGAGCAAAAAAGAATAATTCTTTTTGCCTAGTAATTTTCATTTGGATTGATTTCATCGTAAAACACTACAATATTCCAAGAGCCTCCCTCCTCTATACAGAAACCGTACACCTTTTTGTAAATAAGGACAATAAATTAAATGTAAATAGATTTATCTTAAATAATATGATAAATAAGACCTTCAAAATGAGACTATAAATCAGGGTTTAAAATTGTGAAGTCTCATAGCCGTCCAAGAAATCTTTCCACCGACAGTGTCATGACCAAAACTCCTTTTCCTTTTCATCGACATGCACCGAATTTCTCTGCCAAGTTTTCAAACTAACTTCCAAACTTCATACTCGGTGATTCAACAAATGAAAACGATCGCATCAATAGCATAGTGACACAATGAATAATCGATTTGCATTTCTTTCTTTTTTTTAAATTTCTTTAACATCACACATAACCCCAAATTGTGTTTTATAGTGAATGACTCAAATTAAAATCATTAGATGATTTAAAGACTATATTATCCTATTTTCAAGATCCTAATATTTTCAGGTACGGGTTACGGTATCAGTCGAGGGGGGGGTTCGAGTTCGAGTTCGAGTTAAGTGGTTGTATTTCTAAATTATGAGGGTATGCAGTATTTTTTGAATGTTTCAATGCAAGAAGAAAAAAAGTTTAGTTTTGTATAAATTTTGAAGAGCAAAAAAGAATAATTCTTTTTGCCTAGTAATTTTCATTTGGACTGATTTCATCGTAAAACACTACAATATTCCAAGAGCCTCCCTCCTCTATACAGAAACCGTACACCTTTTTGTAAATAAGGACAATAAATTTCACTTCACTTTTTTTATTTGGTCGTAAATTTCTGTTTACTTTAATTTGCAAACTTTTCCACGTCCAGTTGTAATATTCCTTTTGACCTCACACCATGCATGCGATTGTTTCTTTATGTTCTTTTCTCTTTGTTTTCTTTTGGACTTAACTATCTACTTATTTTCTTCTCATGCATGCCTCCCTCCTCCTACCTTGTTTCTTTGTCTTATTGATATCAATTTTGGGCTACTTTATTTGAGCACTGCCTGCCCTTTTACCCTTAGATTTGGACAAGGTGCTCCCCCTTAATCAAAAGCCATAGATCTAATCCTAGATCATCATTAATTTACAGGGAATTTAGCTTTTCTTCACGACAAAGCATTTTCAATCTCGCAGACATAGATGGCTAATGTGGATGTGCTCCCCACTTTGTATCCGAGTCCGAATCCCCCTCCCCCTTCCGCCCTCCCCCTAGTTTAAATTAGATTATAATAAAATATCGTTTGTATAAAATATAAAAGTATTTTCAATCTCAAATAAGCGCACCCGTATATATGGTCCCCTATGAGTTGCTAACAAGTTTGTGTAAAAACTCTCTTTTGAGCAATTTCGGTTTGCATTTCTTTTGTTAGGAATTAAGATCTTACCTTTAAAAGTTTAGATCAACTCACCGACTTGAAATTCACATGCACCAACCAATTGCTGTGGCCATACAAAAGCAAGTAGTGCTTAAACAGCAGATAATTAATTATCAGCTCTAACTACAATTTCCTTTTCAATCAAAAGCGTTTAATCTCATATCAGCATAATGCAGATTTTAATGATTACTAACAAAAACAATAATAGTAATCATAATTACAATCTATTATGTCATTCAGGTGCTGACCATCCCTAACTAAGGAAATGGGGGTAATGGATTGAATTTATTCAGTGCAATAATTTGGTGGAGGCTCTTTGCCAAATCTCATTTTCCCGCCATGTTTGCTACTCTGATTAACTGGAACATTAAAGAAGTTTTTTTTGTGGCCAATTATGTTTAATTATTCTATCCCCAATCCCATATCAGCTGAGCTGGTGAACACCAAAGAGATTTGCATAGTAAATAATTTTAGAATAAAAAGGTGAGATGAAACATTTACTTAGTTACCCTGTTTTTTCGTAGGTTTCGTAAATACTCTGTACCACTCGAGCTACAAGTTTAGATTTTTATTTGCAAATTGCTAAGATCAATTATTGCACTGCTATCAGGTCTAATTCCCAGCTCCACTGTACACAGTCCTGTATTATGAGAGAAGGCCCACATGGGACGGCCGCCTATGTTTGAAGGCCAGAACCTTTGCCTATCCATGAGGGTACTCAATATAAGCAATAATTTTGTAGCAGTGATCTTCCCATAATGTATTCATTCATTATGTTTCAATTAGTTTGAAATACGTAGCAATAAAATTGGCCAGGCCTATCTTTTGGTTTTAGGTATGTTTCCCTAAGTCTAGTCTCAAAAATAGAAGTTCCTATTTAATGCAAACACGATTCAGTGACTTGATATTGATCTATATATTAGTAGAGAAGGGCAAATCGGCCGATCTAACGGCTAAAAATACGTTCACATTTGCATTGTAGAAAAATCCCAAAAATAGAGCACAAGCTGCTAGTTATTTAATCTTCTCTCCAAGCAATAAGATAATTTAATTTAATTTGAAGCATGCAACAACCCAAAAGAATATGGCTCATAATTAGTATTATGTTTTTCCTATTGCTGCACGTGTGAAGATGAGCACTAATTCAAAGCTTAATTCGATATTGATTGATCGAAGTATAGCCCACAATAGGACATGAGATTGCTTTCATGTAGACATCATTAGTTTACACAGCAAGTGTAAGTGGGTTTAGAAAGAAACAACTTTAAGGTTTTCCAACAAGAGGTAGCTTTCAATTCAAAATAAGCAGACAAATTCCCAGTACTGATGGGCCACTATAATCATTAACAAAATCAAAAAGTTTTGATCTGGGAATCCATATTTCCACATCTCAACTCCTTTTTTCTTTGAATTATGAGGAAGGAATATCTGTGTTACCTTTAGAGAAAGGCAGCTTAGGTAAAAAGGAGATTAGTAATGATGTTAGTGTAATGCACATACAGAAACTGAAGAGAAAAAGAAATAAAGGTGATGAGATAACAGATCAGATCCTGGTCAAAGCCCCAAAGCAAAAGTCTAAATGATATTTGTATATGTCTCTGCATCATTGGGACACAAGACTGAGCTGGTCCTGTACCAACTGGAGCAATAAAGCTGTTTGGAAATTATGAAAACCATTAGCATATCATTTCATAAATTCACTTCAATCCTTAGCCTCTTCACTGCTTTTTCCCCTCAATTTGTTTCAACATTTTGATACGATAGGCTTAAAACATAAGTGAAGTTTTCTTTTACTTTGTTCACAGAAGGGCCCCACCAAGGCCATCATTAACCACAATTTCCCCTCCAGTAAGATAAAACTACATGAACTATTGTTTGCATGTAATTGAAGCAAAAACTTTCCACAGATGAGCAAAAACACAAAGGCCTAGGGCTATGCATCTGTCCAGGCAGCAAAAATTGGCATGTGAGGCATGGTGAGTCCTGGCCTGGATTGGACTGTTGGGATCCAAGAACTCACTGTGTCACTTGAACTTGTGAAGAACTTGGAAGCAGATGGAGGCATTCCAAAGAAACTTGGCAGGCAAGACTTATCAGGGCTGCCCTCTCTTGAGCTGCTTAAGCTTGTCACCAATGAAGAGGCATTGGACACGTGAGCAGCCCCCATTTTGGCAGAGTCCTCCGCCTCGGCTTGAATCACATTGTGAGGTTCAGTGCTTGGTTGCTTCTGATCAAGCTGCTGGGATGACTGGTAAAGTGCCATTTTCCAATCTTCACCTTCGTTAATGTTCTTCAGTGAGACAATGGCTTCCCCATTGCTGGTTTGGGCAACATGGTTTTGATTAGTAGCAGCCTCGTTAACCGGTACGGTCTCCTTGTTTCGCTTAGCAAGTTCTCCAGCAAGAAGGGTATTGCTTGCCATAATTCGATCCACATCATATCTTGTTATGTCAAAGTTGGTAACAGCATTCAGTCCTCGGAATTTTATGGCTGCTATGTCATAAGCCTCAGCAGCTTCCTCCTGGGTGCCTAGGTTTACAGATAAAAGATAACAAAAATTAGTATTGGAAGGACAACTGGAACATTAAAGAAGTTTTTTTTGTGGCCAATTATGTTTAATTATTCTATCCCCAATCCCATATCAGCTGAGCTGGTGAACACCAAAGAGATTTGCATAGTAAATAATTTTAGAATAAAAAGGTGAGATGAAACATTTACTTAGTTACCCTGTTTTTTCGTAGGTTTCGTAAATACTCTATACCACTCGAGCTATAAGTTTAGATTTTTATTTGCAAATTGCTAAGATCAATTATTGCACTGCTATCAGGTCTAATTCCCAGCTCCACTGTACACAGTCCTGTATTATGAGAGAAGGCCCACATGGGACGGCCGCCTATGTTTGAAGGCCAGAACCTTTGCCTATCCATGAGGGTACTCAATATAAGCAATAATTTTGTAGCAGTGATCTTCCCATAATGTATTCATTCATTATGTTTCAATTAGTTTGAAATACGTAGCAATAAAATTGGCCAGGCCTATCTTTTGGTTTTAGGTATGTTTCCCTAAGTCTAGTCTCAAAAATAGAAGTTCCTATTTAATGCAAACACGATTCAGTGACTTGATATTGATCTATATATTAGTAGAGAAGGGCAAATCGGCCGATCTAACGGCTAAAAATACGTTCACATTTGCATTGTAGAAAAATCCCAAAAATAGAGCACAAGCTGCTAGTTATTTAATCTTCTCTCCAAGCAATAAGATAATTTAATTTAATTTGAAGCATGCAACAACCCAAAAGAATATGGCTCATAATTAGTATTATGTTTTTCCTATTGCTGCACGTGTGAAGATGAGCACTAATTCAAAGCTTAATTCGATATTGATTGATCGAAGTATAGCCCACAATAGGACATGAGATTGCTTTCATGTAGACATCATTAGTTTACACAGCAAGTGTAAGTGGGTTTAGAAAGAAACAACTTTAAGGTTTTCCAACAAGAGGTAGCTTTCAATTCAAAATAAGCAGACAAATTCCCAGTACTGATGGGCCACTATAATCATTAACAAAATCAAAAAGTTTTGATCTGGGAATCCATATTTCCACATCTCAACTCCTTTTTTCTTTGAATTATGAGGAAGGAATATCTGTGTTACCTTTAGAGAAAGGCAGCTTAGGTAAAAAGGAGATTAGTAATGATGTTAGTGTAATGCACATACAGAAACTGAAGAGAAAAAGAAATAAAGGTGATGAGATAACAGATCAGATCCTGGTCAAAGCCCCAAAGCAAAAGTCTAAATGATATTTGTATATGTCTCTGCATCATTGGGACACAAGACTGAGCTGGTCCTGTACCAACTGGAGCAATAAAGCTGTTTGGAAATTATGAAAACCATTAGCATATCATTTCATAAATTCACTTCAATCCTTAGCCTCTTCACTGCTTTTTCCCCTCAATTTGTTTCAACATTTTGATACGATAGGCTTAAAACATAAGTGAAGTTTTCTTTTACTTTGTTCACAGAAGGGCCCCACCAAGGCCATCATTAACCACAATTTCCCCTCCAGTAAGATAAAACTACATGAACTATTGTTTGCATGTAATTGAGGCAAAAACTTTCCACAGATGAGCAAAAACACAAAGGCCTAGGGCTATGCATCTGTCCAGGCAGCAAAAATTGGCATGTGAGGCATGGTGAGTCCTGGCCTGGATTGGACTGTTGGGATCCAAGAACTCACTGTGTCACTTGAACTTGTGAAGAACTTGGAAGCAGATGGAGGCATTCCAAAGAAACTTGGCAGGCAAGACTTATCAGGGCTGCCCTCTCTTGAGCTGCTTAAGCTTGTCACCAATGAAGAGGCATTGGACACGTGAGCAGCCCCCATTTTGGCAGAGTCCTCCGCCTCGGCTTGAATCACATTGTGAGGTTCAGTGCTTGGTTGCTTCTGATCAAGCTGCTGGGATGACTGGTAAAGTGCCATTTTCCAATCTTCACCTTCGTTAATGTTCTTCAGTGAGACAATGGCTTCCCCATTGCTGGTTTGGGCAACATGGTTTTGATTAGTAGCAGCCTCGTTAACCGGTACGGTCTCCTTGTTTCGCTTAGCAAGTTCTCCAGCAAGAAGGGTATTGCTTGCCATAATTCGATCCACATCATATCTTGTTATGTCAAAGTTGGTAACAGCATTCAGTCCTCGGAATTTTATGGCTGCTATGTCATAAGCCTCAGCAGCTTCCTCCTGGGTGCCTAGGTTTACAGATAAAAGATAACAAAAATTAGTATTGGAAGGACACTCAGAAAAGTGTGAGCATCAAATTTAAAGCTGGGGCAAGCATGGGTCTCTGAAGAAACAGCCTTAGCAAAAGCTTAGTGGGCAAGTCAAGCTGACAACCAGAACCAGAATCATACAGTGGTATATCTCTATAAGTGGCTGAAAAGACAACGGCTTAAAAATACGTTCACATTTGCATTGTAGAAAAATCCCAAAAATAGAGCACAAGCTGCTAGTTATTTAATCTTCTCTCCAAGCAATAAGATAATTTAATTTAATTTGAAGCATGCAACAACCCAAAAGAATATGGCTCATAATTAGTATTATGTTTTTCCTATTGCTGCACGTGTGAAGATGAGCACTAATTCAAAGCTTAATTCGATATTGATTGATCGAAGTATAGCCCACAATAGGACATGAGATTGCTTTCATGTAGACATCATTAGTTTACACAGCAAGTGTAAGTGGGTTTAGAAAGAAACAACTTTAAGGTTTTCCAACAAGAGGTAGCTTTCAATTCAAAATAAGCAGACAAATTCCCAGTACTGATGGGCCACTATAATCATTAACAAAATCAAAAAGTTTTGATCTGGGAATCCATATTTCCACATCTCAACTCCTTTTTTCTTTGAATTATGAGGAAGGAATATCTGTGTTACCTTTAGAGAAAGGCAGCTTAGGTAAAAAGGAGATTAGTAATGATGTTAGTGTAATGCACATACAGAAACTGAAGAGAAAAAGAAATAAAGGTGATGAGATAACAGATCAGATCCTGGTCAAAGCCCCAAAGCAAAAGTCTAAATGATATTTGTATATGTCTCTGCATCATTGGGACACAAGACTGAGCTGGTCCTGTACCAACTGGAGCAATAAAGCTGTTTGGAAATTATGAAAACCATTAGCATATCATTTCATAAATTCACTTCAATCCTTAGCCTCTTCACTGCTTTTTCCCCTCAATTTGTTTCAACATTTTGATACGATAGGCTTAAAACATAAGTGAAGTTTTCTTTTACTTTGTTCACAGAAGGGCCCCACCAAGGCCATCATTAACCACAATTTCCCCTCCAGTAAGATAAAACTACATGAACTATTGTTTGCATGTAATTGAGGCAAAAACTTTCCACAGATGAGCAAAAACACAAAGGCCTAGGGCTATGCATCTGTCCAGGCAGCAAAAATTGGCATGTGAGGCATGGTGAGTCCTGGCCTGGATTGGACTGTTGGGATCCAAGAACTCACTGTGTCACTTGAACTTGTGAAGAACTTGGAAGCAGATGGAGGCATTCCAAAGAAACTTGGCAGGCAAGACTTATCAGGGCTGCCCTCTCTTGAGCTGCTTAAGCTTGTCACCAATGAAGAGGCATTGGACACGTGAGCAGCCCCCATTTTGGCAGAGTCCTCCGCCTCGGCTTGAATCACATTGTGAGGTTCAGTGCTTGGTTGCTTCTGATCAAGCTGCTGGGATGACTGGTAAAGTGCCATTTTCCAATCTTCACCTTCGTTAATGTTCTTCAGTGAGACAATGGCTTCCCCATTGCTGGTTTGGGCAACATGGTTTTGATTAGTAGCAGCCTCGTTAACCGGTACGGTCTCCTTGTTTCGCTTAGCAAGTTCTCCAGCAAGAAGGGTATTGCTTGCCATAATTCGATCCACATCATATCTTGTTATGTCAAAGTTGGTAACAGCATTCAGTCCTCGGAATTTTATGGCTGCTATGTCATAAGCCTCAGCAGCTTCCTCCTGGGTGCCTAGGTTTACAGATAAAAGATAACAAAAATTAGTATTGGAAGGACACTCAGAAAAGTGTGAGCATCAAATTTAAAGCTGGGGCAAGCATGGGTCTCTGAAGAAACAGCCTTAGCAAAAGCTTAGTGGACAAGTCAAGCTGACAACCAGAACCAGAATCATACAGTGGTATATCTCTATAAGTGGCTGAAAAGACAACGGTCCAAAGAGCTGAGAGTGCTTCAAAGATTGGCTTTTTAAAGTCATAAATCATACCCTTGAATCTCTTGCCTACAATCTAATAATAATGACAATGGTTGAAACAGTATTTAAATATGGATATTTGCCTTGTAAAGTCAAGTTTGGAATTCACTCACTGAATGTCCCAAGATAAAGATCTTTATTTCCAGCAACCCTTCCAATCCGAGCTTGCCATCTTCCTGGCTCATAATTAGTATTATGTTTTTCCTATTGCTGCACGTGTGAAGATGAGCACTAATTCAAAGCTTAATTCGATATTGATTGATCGAAGTATAGCCCACAATAGGACATGAGATTGCTTTCATGTAGACATCATTAGTTTACACAGCAAGTGTAAGTGGGTTTAGAAAGAAACAACTTTAAGGTTTTCCAACAAGAGGTAGCTTTCAATTCAAAATAAGCAGACAAATTCCCAGTACTGATGGGCCACTATAATCATTAACAAAATCAAAAAGTTTTGATCTGGGAATCCATATTTCCACATCTCAACTCCTTTTTTCTTTGAATTATGAGGAAGGAATATCTGTGTTACCTTTAGAGAAAGGCAGCTTAGGTAAAAAGGAGATTAGTAATGATGTTAGTGTAATGCACATACAGAAACTGAAGAGAAAAAGAAATAAAGGTGATGAGATAACAGATCAGATCCTGGTCAAAGCCCCAAAGCAAAAGTCTAAATGATATTTGTATATGTCTCTGCATCATTGGGACACAAGACTGAGCTGGTCCTGTACCAACTGGAGCAATAAAGCTGTTTGGAAATTATGAAAACCATTAGCATATCATTTCATAAATTCACTTCAATCCTTAGCCTCTTCACTGCTTTTTCCCCTCAATTTGTTTCAACATTTTGATACGATAGGCTTAAAACATAAGTGAAGTTTTCTTTTACTTTGTTCACAGAAGGGCCCCACCAAGGCCATCATTAACCACAATTTCCCCTCCAGTAAGATAAAACTACATGAACTATTGTTTGCATGTAATTGAGGCAAAAACTTTCCACAGATGAGCAAAAACACAAAGGCCTAGGGCTATGCATCTGTCCAGGCAGCAAAAATTGGCATGTGAGGCATGGTGAGTCCTGGCCTGGATTGGACTGTTGGGATCCAAGAACTCACTGTGTCACTTGAACTTGTGAAGAACTTGGAAGCAGATGGAGGCATTCCAAAGAAACTTGGCAGGCAAGACTTATCAGGGCTGCCCTCTCTTGAGCTGCTTAAGCTTGTCACCAATGAAGAGGCATTGGACACGTGAGCAGCCCCCATTTTGGCAGAGTCCTCCGCCTCGGCTTGAATCACATTGTGAGGTTCAGTGCTTGGTTGCTTCTGATCAAGCTGCTGGGATGACTGGTAAAGTGCCATTTTCCAATCTTCACCTTCGTTAATGTTCTTCAGTGAGACAATGGCTTCCCCATTGCTGGTTTGGGCAACATGGTTTTGATTAGTAGCAGCCTCGTTAACCGGTACGGTCTCCTTGTTTCGCTTAGCAAGTTCTCCAGCAAGAAGGGTATTGCTTGCCATAATTCGATCCACATCATATCTTGTTATGTCAAAGTTGGTAACAGCATTCAGTCCTCGGAATTTTATGGCTGCTATGTCATAAGCCTCAGCAGCTTCCTCCTGGGTGCCTAGGTTTACAGATAAAAGATAACAAAAATTAGTATTGGAAGGACACTCAGAAAAGTGTGAGCATCAAATTTAAAGCTGGGGCAAGCATGGGTCTCTGAAGAAACAGCCTTAGCAAAAGCTTAGTGGGCAAGTCAAGCTGACAACCAGAACCAGAATCATACAGTGGTATATCTCTATAAGTGGCTGAAAAGACAACGGTCCAAAGAGCTGAGAGTGCTTCAAAGATTGGCTTTTTAAAGTCATAAATCATACCCTTGAATCTCTTGCCTACAATCTAATAATAATGACAATGGTTGAAACAGTATTTAAATATGGATATTTGCCTTGTAAAGTCAAGTTTGGAATTCACTCACTGAATGTCCCAAGATAAAGATCTTTATTTCCAGCAACCCTTCCAATCCGAGCTTGCCATCTTCCATGTTGATGATGTCTGCTATACAGAGAAAAACATAAACACAGATTTCAGAGATTTTTTATTTTTTATTTTTTTCTGAGACATTTTATCTAAAATATTATATGAGCAGCTAATAAGACCTAGTCACTCCTCTGTACATTGAAGCCCCTCTTGAGAATCCACTGCTTTTCCTGCAACGAACAAATTTATTTTATGAGTTAAACAAAAAATATTCTTCATTGGGAGCATGAACAAATGCAAAGATCTACCTCCTTAAGTGGGCAACATATTCTTGTCTGGTCATGTTCTTCATGTCCTCCAGTTCTTTTTGATAGTTTTCCAACTGTTAGATCAGCATCATGGTTTCATTTTTTGTAACCAAAATGAATATGGGTGTAGATTGAAAAAAGAAATGCAAAGAGGACAAAATGATTACTGGGAAATTAATGTGAGTGGATGGTCCCCAATACTTGAGTGCTGCTAGATCATAAGCTCTTGCAGCTTTTTCCTCCATATCATAACCTCCTAAAATAAAAAAAATCTTGGTATGATTTGATAAAGAACATTGGTGGACGGTTTAAAATGCTTTAGCCTGATTATTAATCAAAATGCTTACCCAAGTAAACTGAGATTCATGGTTTGATTGTGATACCCAGCCAAGCAAGGAAAACCAAACAGAAAAAGACAATCAGCATTGTATGGAAAATAGTCAGACAAGAGCAAGGGCACATCCATTTAAATGAAAACATCATTGTGCTAAGAGCAAGGGCACATCCATTTAAATGAAAACATCACTGTGCTTATTAAATTTGCATGTGTTTTCTTCACCAACCTTGCCTTCCCTTCCTGCTCTGACCTTCTTTCTTGCAACTGTTGTCCCATAGATGAGCTTCATATCGACCAGTCCATCTATGCCTGATCAACAGAAGTGCATCAAGAAGTCAGAAAGTTGAAGAAGAAAAAATAAAAGTGAAAACAGAAGTTGAAAGAAAGAAAAAATAGAGTATAAGCAAAATCAATATAAAAGAATAAACAGAAAAAACCCAGTTAGCAATTTAGGAACTTTTTACTTATAAATTGTTTATAAAAAAAAATGAAGAAACCAAAATCATACAGAAAAAAACAGGAAAGAAGTGACCTTGTGACTCCTCTGTACTGAGAAGTTCTCTGGCCAAATGTATCCAAGGACTTCCTATGAACAATTTGCTTTTGATCCACCTTTTCAGGCCCTCTTTTCTTGGTATCCATGGTCACACCATCAGCCACAGTAGGTGAGATTTGCTGTGAACCAGTAACACAGCTTGATTGGGAGCCAGGGCTCATGGACAAGCTCAAAGACTGTAAATCCCCATATGGCATTGCCCCAATAGACCCAGATTCAGCTCCATTATCACCCATGCAGCCAATCATATTCTGCTCCATTGCATGGTTAGCTGCATAATTTCTTGAAATCCAGCTCTTCATCTCAGAAATGCTCTGATCAAGCCCCATTCTTGGCTGCTGGAGATTGTAATTATTTGCTGCAAGATGGGTTTCCTTGTGCCCCTCCTCCAACATCATCTCATGGCCTCTGAGGCCAGAGTAGTATGAATATTGTTGTTGTTGGGCCTGAACCTGAACCTGATGCACTGATTGTTCTTGGTGCCTGGGGTTCTGCTGCTGTTGCTGCTGCTGCTGCTGAAGATGGTTGATCAAGTTTTGGTTGTTGGGCTCATGATGGTTGTTTTGTTGGTAAAACATGCTGTCTAAGCTGAGAGCCATAGCTTCTCTGTCATTGTTTTCATAATGGGTCCCCATGGTTGCACCACCAAAGAAGTCCTCTAGTTTTGGCGTTGAAGTAGTTGTTGTTGTTACCATTCCTTCAGATAAATAAAGATAAGTCAAAAGACAGAAGAGTCCACCACAAGTTTTTAAGTGCAAAATTTTTTTACCAAACCACAAGAAATAATAAGAGCTTAGAGAAGAAATTAACCTTGAGGCTGCTGTGACCTGTTGAGAGCTTCCATTATACACAGAGAGCCATCAGACTTGAGTGGCATCATGGACAAAGGAGAGTACAAGCCAGCACTGGTATCTCCTTCAACTCCATAGTATATTCCATAGTTGAAGTGAGGTGGGGAGTGGAAGAAACTAGTTGGAACAGAGGAGGCAATAGCAGCAACAGAAGAAGAAGAAGACTCTGAAATTTGGTGATGGTGATGGTGATGATGAGGCTCAGATGGGGCTTCCATTTTCATATTAGGGGAGAGAGAAAAATCCAACCAGTTATTATTGTTATTATTACTGTTGTTGTTGTTGTTGTTGTTGTTGCTGCTACCATCATTACTCATGGATTTCATGGTCTCTCTCACTCTCAAGGTTTGAGCTTTTCTCTCCTTCCTCCCTATTCTGATCAGAGATTGTTGGTAAGTTTCTCTTGTGGCAAGGCAACTCAATCATTGGGTAGAATATAAACTAATCATACTAACATTTTTCTTTTTTTCTCTCTGCTTTGCTTGGTCTGGCCTTGCCTTGCCTCTGTTTTTTCAAAACTGGGTCTTTTGTTGGGTAGCTGCAGAGCTGATTGGACCAAATCTAACACTCATCTAAAACAAATCCCAACTCCTGCAACTGAATCTATCTATACTGCTAACCCCCTCTTTCTCTCTCTCTCTCTGTGTGTCTCTCTCTCTCTCTCTCTGTGGAAACTGAAAAGATATGTAATATGTAAAAAGAAAACAAAACAAGGTCCTTTAAACTAAACAAAAAGAATGAATTCCAGCGAGCAATGTTGGGTATCCTTCCCTCATTCCATAGGCATCTCTGTATGTGAGAAAGACCTTTTCTTTTGCTTTTCTTTAGTCTCACTCTGCCCTCTCTCTCTCCTTGCCTTTCTTTTTTAAAATTTGCTTTTTTTCTTTAAGATCCCTTAAAACTCACATTAAAGATCATTCTCCAAAAAAAGATTTAAACAAAGACCCAAAATTTTAAAAAAGTGTACGAACGAGACCTCATAATCTCATGTGGGTAAAACACTGCTAAATTCAACAGTTGCCATTAAAACCCAGCAGTCCAAATGTCACACCCAAAGTCACTCACTTTCTCTCTCTAAAACATGTATTGACTAATTATAGTCGGTTTAGTGGGTGCACCATATTAATGAACTGGGTTTTGCTTTAGCTTTAATGGGTTTCTCAGGCTTTGATCAGATTTCACGGGCACAAGACAAACTGTCCCTCCAGTCACTTCAAAACAGCAGGCACAGCTTCTTCTGTGAACTGGACCTACTTTGCTATAGCTGCTTGCTACTGCTACTATCGACCATTTCGACTGTGTGTATGAAGACAAGACAAGTAGCCCTTAACGACGCCGTCTTCAGAAACTGCTTGGCGTGGAGGACGGGTATTTGCTTTGACTGGCTTGGCTTGGCCTGTCCTGGCCTTCACGTACTGTAATTTTATCTTTATCTTTGTCCATTTATTTGGATTCTTTTAATGTTTTTACTAGACATTTCATGGAGATGATTGGATTTGGGCTGCTTTTTTGTGTGTTTTGGAACTGGATGGTCCGACTGAATTCTTACCCTAGCCAATTCCCTTATTTAAAAAGAAAAACAAGAGAGAGTAAATAGCATTGGATTCTGATCATTTCAAGCCCTTTTTTTTTTTTTTTGTCTTTCTAGACTTTTAAACCTAACATTTGAAATGAGATTAAGATATACGACTCATTAACCATTCTATTATTTTTATGGGAAACATGCCTTGTGTAATCCAATCATCCATATGAAAAATTCTTACTAATAATCTATTCGAATTTAAGAATCTTAACAAAGACATACGTACATGAATAACTGTTAACAGTAAATCATATAAATCTCACAAATGAGGCATGTACAGTACAACTTTAAAATGATTATTAGAACCAACTCGCCTAGTTTGGTATATGAAACAAATGTCTCACACTTGGTATATTAAGTGAGTGTCAAATGGACCTAATGTAAACGGGTGTAAATAAGTTTTTCTCCACAAGAAAAGGGGTCATACGTATGAAAAAATGTTGATCCATTGCGAGAATGGACCAAAATATCAATAATTTCACTGAAATATCGTCGAAATTATCATTTTTTTGGGGCAGCAATATTTTAGGACATATACATCCATTTATCGTCAATTTTCCGAAACCCTCAATATTTAAGACCTTGGTTGCGAGCATATACAAAGGCCCTAAAGTGCTGTTTTTACATGGAAATGACTAGATGTACTGTAACTACTGTATGACTTGCCATCAAACCCAGGAGACAAAAGAACAAAATCTAGAATTATTGATGAGCAAGACACAGTGCAAATTCTTTTATATTTGCTTTATCTAGAGCCTTGTTCACTTGTTGTGGTCAACACATCTAGATCAAAAGTGAGAGAGGTGGGTCACTGTAATTAATTAACCTCTAGTGGGAGCTAATTAGCGGTCATCTCATCCTAATGCCATACTGAGGAGAGCTAATAACTTATTAACTTTAATTTTGTTGAATAATTAATTTCATGAATCGGATTAAACTCTTATTAACGGATCGATACATGTACTTGTAAAAGAAGGTACAGTTCTAAGGAGAGCTTTGCTCAAAGTTGATATTCCTAGAATGATGAACCAAGGTCCCTTTGGGAACATTCTTTTTGTGGGAAATGCATTTTATATCCCACTAATCATTATAGGCTTATAAAACTCAGAGTACAAATCCGACGCTAACTTTGGTTATTTTATAACTTTTTATAGTCCAAGGAGGAGCTGTGGGATTGCTTCCCTTGGTTTATTAATATATTTTTGATGTCTTATTTTTGTTTAATTTTTTTAAGAGAAAACTGTTGGAACGTTAAACATCAACCTTATATTTTCATTTTTCCAAAACCAAACTTGAACCAGTAGGCCACGAAAGAGAAAAAATGGCCAATCAATCAAATAAGGGTTGCTCTTTTTATCATTTGATTTTGCATGGAAATTTGCATGGCCAAGTTCATGGAGACAGATTTTCAAGAAGGCATGATTTGGTTTTCAAAAAGAGAGAGGGGAGTTTTGGAGGTGAAATATGACCAAAGGACAGAAGGTGAATGGAGCGAGAGCGAGAGAGAGAGAGAGAGAGAGAGAGAGCCCCTCTTTTTGATTGTAGTAATGATGAGCAAATCCATTATCCCAACCCATCATAGCACTAGAGGCCAATTGCAGCAAATGGTGCATGGCCAAACAAAAGAGCTTTGTGTTTTAATTTGCTTCTTTTTTTCTTTCTTTTATAGGGAAAGGGTTTGGTAATGCCTCTTTTATCTATGCACTGCATGCTTTTGTAGGGCCTGTTGCTAACCCTTAATTAGCAATCGTGGGTTAGCTTTAGCTACGTCTTAAGGCACTCTTAAACCTAAATATGCCCTTGAATTGCAACATCAGGCAACTCTATGGGTATCATTGCCTAAATTAAAGCTACATCAATGAAAGTGAAACTCTTACGAACTACATAAACAAAATTTGTTATTAGGGTGAAGGAGTTTTGGAGCTCAAATGATTAAGAGTACATACATATGCACATGAGTTCTTGTGTTTGAATTTCCAACTCCCAATATCGTTTGTATATATGAAAAAAAAAAAAAAATTATTCCTCGGCTTTAACTTAATAAGTCGATCAGAGTCAATTCATTAACCAATCAATCATCGAGGATCGACTCCTAAAAGTTGGGCTAGGGGCTAACTTGTTTCATTGGTTTCGACCGGTGAACCTTTCTACGCCGTAATAAAAAATATTACTAAATTTGATGTTGAGCAATTGATTTGGGCCACATTAAGCCTTAAAAGCCATTGTTACATATCTCATGTGACCAAATTTATACCCAAGAACAATAAAGAAAAATAAACCTCATAGCTTCTTATTTAGTTTGAAACGAGTAGAAAAGAACAAATCTCTCACCCAAAGAGGAGAGCAAGAAAGCACAGCAAACAGGCCAGTCATGTGACCAAAACTAATAAGCTTTGGTGGCTTAGGTCCCAAGACCTTATTTGCCACACGCCTAGCAAACACACTAGCATCCGTTGCTTTACTTCCTTGAGAAGCCCTTGCTCTCTCTGCAATGGCCTCCTTGAAATCCTTATAGAGCTTCCAATCATGACCACCCAATCTCTCCACGGTAGCACTCCCAAAATTTGATCTAACGGCCCCAGGCACAACCAGCACAACATCAATACCAAAGGGCTTCAACTCAACCCTCAATGTGTTTGACATGGCATGCACCGCAGCCTTGCTTGCACAATAAGACCCTGCCCATGGGGTTGGCACTTTGCCCACAACGCTTCCGATATTTACAATACTTCCACTGCGCCGCGATGCCATGTAAGGCACCACTTGTTGTACCACCCTTAGTTGCCCTAGTGTGTTAATTTCCCAAGCCCTTCTAATGGTCTCTAGTGGAAGCTCGGCTAGAGGGCCGGTGCTTCCTATCCCAGCATTGTTAACAAGAACATCAATACGACCATACTTGGACATAACCGTCTTTACAGCAAGCGCTACACTTTCGTCGGAGGACACATCGAGCTCTAGTGCCTCGATGTTGTCCGACGAATTTAAGTCTATGTCGTGCATGCGTTGGGAGATGTCTGTGGCAAAGACGCGGCAGTTTTGCTCGGCAAAGGCCTTGCAGTACTCATAACCAATGCCACCTTTGGCGCAACCTGTGACTAGAACAACCTTAGAGTCACTAGTACTCATGTTGTTTCTTAATATTTCCTTGTCATAAGGCATGAGTATATATAGAGGCATATACATGCATGCACTATATTAGTTCCGCCTTCTTGTTCATTGGTTTATTAGATAACTATGCTATAAGAATATGCTTAAGGGCATATCCTATTTCAATCAAGATCGGCCGGCTATGCTGGGGTTTATTTGCAATGGTATTTAGAATTTTAGTGTAAAAAAGGATGCCAACTTTGGAATTTGCATATGGTTGCACATATAGCTCCAATTGGATAATGCTATACCCCCAATTCTTTTTTTTCCTCAACCAGCATGACATTATTTCATTTGATTCAACATTATTATAATTAGGCATTACTGTAGTGTGCATATCAGGTGTGACATTGGTCGGGAAACAAAATTGAAAGAAAAAGTTAGACTCTTTAAGTATCTTCCTCTCCAATTTTGTGGGCACATTCATCAATTTTTTTGTTTCTCTTTTGGAATGCACAAAACTTCTTTAATCTGAACCAACAATCGTAAACTGTTTGTTTGTTCCTTGTTGGTAAGAGTAATGGAAGTGATATGCATTTAACTGAGGAAAGGGTTGTTGTGGTATTTCACTTGGAAATGTGAAACACAAACAAAATCTAAACAAGATTGCAGAAATTGCCAAGAGGCAAGGGTCAAAAGAAAAAGTATAATATGGATAGCAACCGAAGTGAGAGCGACTAGAGAGCTCTGTTGGCGCTGCACTGTACCAATGCATGGGGACTAAAAGGCCTCTGCTCTCTTTTCCTTTTTGAGAGCAAGACAATACCCTTCTCACCATTAAAAGTGTCCCCTCCTCCATTAACCAATGCCATTTCTCTGCAAACTCCAAACACCATTTACTCTCTCTCAATTGGCTCTCTCTCTCTCACAGAGAAAACTTTGTCATGTCACATTCAAAAATTAAGATTCTCTCTCTACAGCTGCTTCTATAACTGCAACATCTATAGCTGCTGCTGCTATGAATTTCTTTCATATTGTCATTAAATATGTTTTCCAATTATATCTACCTATAGATTTATTCTTCTGCTAGATGTGGGAGTGGGAGGGAAAAAGGCTGAGACTACTCTACAAGACTCTATATCGATCTTATAGCCCTGATTAAGACTTTAGGGGGTGACCCACTGACCCCATTAGATTTTTTTTCATTTACCAATAAGAGAGGAAAAACCCTAGATTTTAAAAGGAAAGTGAGCAATGGGGCAAACCCATCTTTCCATTAACTTATTTAAAAGCCATTTACAATTGAATCACCAGAATTTTCACATTCCTAGGACCCCTATGTTGTCTGAAAAAGGGTACAAACAGAGAAAGCTCCGTTGGAAATGTATGAATTTAAATTTATTGGGATGGTTGGTGGGGTTTTATTCTAAAGAAAAATCCAAACCCTTGATCACTTTGGGCACTAGAGTCTAGAGGTTCCTTTCATGTCTGCTACAAACAAGGCCCTTTGAAGAATGTGGGTTAATTTTAGTTTCCACTTTTGCTTTTTGTTCATGGCAAGACGAGGAATGAATGGACACTAGAGGAGGTGTTGGTGTTATGGTGTATGGGCAATTTTGTTGGGGTGCAAGAAGAGGTATTTGACTTAGATCGAATGTAAATGTATTGAGAAGGGCAACTAGATTGATGCAACAGCCCCATTGCAGCTACACGTGAGGAGAAAAATAGATGCAAACCCGGTTTCAACTAAGTCTCGTTTTTCACGTATATATACAAGAAAAGATGTCTTTTTACAAAGAAATATAATACCAAAATGAAAAGAAGTATATATTTCAAAAGTATAAAGAACAATTTCAATATGTTGTACATGTAACTTGCTAGGCATCACCTTATTTTTTTGACGATGGCATTTTGTTTTGTTGACATGGCTTGAGGTAAGGTCAGCTCAATAAAGAGGAGGTTCTAAGTTCGATTCCTCCGTTAATACTGTTCAAATTGGAGATCTATAAGACATTTATTTGGGTTGGAGGTCTCTGACCCGTTTAATACTTTGCAAGACCCATTAGCACACCGCGCTCGGACAACCCAACAACTAAAGTTATAAGCTAGGTGGGCCATTAAATCCGCGATGAGAAAAACTTAGGAAAGGAATTTGAGCCATTTCAATTGGAGCAAACAATTTATGTCTTACCCTGCACCGTTTCAATTGGAGATGGGCTTAGATGATACTAATGGAGATGGACCCATTATTCCCAGTTATGCCGCCCTCCAAACAGAGAAACATATGAGGAGGCTACCTCATGAGCAGCCTTGTTGCACCTCCTCCAAGGAGAATACTACCAGACCTTCCATCTCCGCAAAGTATCATGCCTGAAACTTTCATTTGAACTATGACAAAAAAGACAAAAATAAAATAAAAATCATTTTACTATAATTTCAACAACATTAACGCTAAACCAGAGCTTTTTGAACAAAAACACAACATCATATTATAAAAAAACATAATCAGAGTACCAAAATATTTCGATGTCATCAATCAGTCTGAATTTATTTGAAAATACAACAAGGAATCCATGTGACGTGCTAAAATTAGACTGAATTCTCATATTGGCATGCATGAGTCTGCATTGTCTTCTCCATTCCAAAGTTTGTAGGAACTTTCTTCGGCTGCCATGTGATATAACCAGCTGTGCTTTGACCATAATACAAACACCCTTCGTGGTGCCCAAACCCGTAAGGAAGACAACAACTGAAGCAATGAGCGCCATAAAGCATAAAATTACTATAATAATCAAACTGTGACCCTCCAAACGTGTGGATCATGTTGTCATTCTTGAGCTTAGGCCAAGCCCTCTTCACCTCCACAAATTTATCATTCAGTTCATGATAGGTTTCCTTGGTGACTTCATCCACAGTCTCCTCTGAATCAAAAGTGATAAAGCCGAAGCCCCTGGACTTGCCGCTTTCCTTGATATTTATTATAACCCCATTTATGATTGTACCAAACTTCTCAAAGTAGCTCTTGAATTCTTCTTGTGTCAAATTATGTGGTAATCCTCCCACAAAAATCTTCTTGGTCTTGAAATATGCTCTAGCTTGCTCGTCCTCTTGGTTTTGGAGTTTCTCTCTCTTTGGTAAAGCAGGTTTCACATCTAACTGCATAATCATAATTTAGAATCCCATATCCAAATTAAAAATAAGTAAAATAATTTTAAAATAATAACAAATTAAAAGCAAAACAATCTCTCTCCCCAAACTCTCCTTCCTTTCAGCACCCCAAGCACGACTGCCCCCTCCCACACCACACCAACCCAAACAGTCCAGTCACCCAAACCACCACCCAGCCACTCTAGGCACGTGATGGGGTGCATTAACGTTTTGCAAAACAACGAGGTGTTCATGTTTGGGAAGAGAATCGCGGTGTCGTACGATCTTATGAAGCTGACGAAGCAGCTTGGGAGGCTTCCGGTGGTGCATTTCGCCGAAAAAATTCAAAAGAACACCTATTATATACAAATTAAATACCCGAAAAAAAAAAAAAAGAAGAGGAAGGAAATTGGAATCAACCTTTCTACCGAAGATGTAGTGCTCTACTTCCAATGCTTTCTTAGCCATGAATGGGTCAGTGAAGGTAACAAAGGCAAACCCTTTTGGCCCACGAGTAATTTTGTCAACAACAATCACACAGTCCTTTACTTCACCATATTTGCTGAAGTGTTCTTTCATGATGGTTTCATTAATCGTCTTTGGTAGTCTAGCCACGAACAACTTTCCAGGTTCAGGGAAGTCCATGGTGATCAAAATGTACAACCCTCACAAAGTTCTCAAAAGAAAAAAAAAAAAAAAAAGTGAAGTAGGACTTGATAGAGTTATGTTAGCTCAAACGAAAATAATTCTACAAAATAATAAGACTGAAGTGACAGTTGTTTTTAGAGAGCGCTCATTGCTTTGTGGAGGAAGTAGAATTTATAGTGTAATCAAACTAATAGGTAGGAGGAATTCCTACTTTGAGGATGCTTCCCAATAGAAAAGGGAGAATTAGTAACATTAGGATTCTTGCAGTTTAGGTAATTTTAGGACCTACTTTGTGGATGTTTCCCAATAGAAAAGGGAGATTTAGTAACATTAACATTAGGATTCTTGCAGTTTAGGTAATTTTAGGACCTACTTTGTGGATGTTTCCCAATAGAAAAGGGAGATTTAGTAACATTAGGATTCTTGCAGTTTAGGTAATTTTAGGACCCACTTTACTCCGTACATCAGACTTTTTTCTTTGTTTCAACAAATTGTTACCCTTTTTTTTTCTTTTTTTTTGGGTCCCTTTTTATTAAAGGGAATTCAACATGTGTGGAAACTGGGAATTAATTACTCGACATACATATGATGCATATGGTTTTGACTCCCTAAACCTAAACCAATATGGTGTGGAACTACTCGAAAAAACGAATTTGTCCAAGGGAGCCGTAATTCTCGTGATTTACTCACTCATTTTACTAAACAAACTGAACACATACAAATCTGGGCCCGACCGTGAATCAAGCCCACCTCAAAAATTAAACTATCAGCAACAACCTAATCGGTAAGCAATCCATCAGCCACTGAGTTATTTTTCCTGTAGATCTGATTTTCATCCATAAAGCCATCTTTGCCTTCTTTCATCAATAATTTAAAGACAATTCACCTAATACAAAAGAAATTTTCCTCTCAAAGTTAAATCTGTGTTCTTTCTATAAGTTTCTTCAAATTTGTTCAGTCTTTCATCGTGTTTAGAAGTATGATGAGCATATGTAGGTAAAGAGTAAACTGGAACCAGGAAAAGGTTCACAAAACATCATGTTACTATTATATACAACAATTCATTGGTTTTTTTTTCTTTTCTTTTCTTTCTGGTGTATGCTAATCTGTATTATACAATGACATGATGCAGTATATTAGCATTCATTGAATTTTAAATATACCAGATGTTAAGAATGGCAAGGTTGAACAGGCAGGCAGACTGTTTGACTGATTACTGCAGCATGAAATATGAAACAAGAGCATTTCGTATGCACACTCGACTGGGTAAAATTTGAATATCATGCTCCGTAACTGAAAAACCTATGCGAGACAAAGCTTTAGGAGACAGGAACTTTGCAGCAAACATCCAAGACATCATCTAATGGGGCATGATCACCTGTCCCTTCGTCTTTCCGAGCATACAACAATTGCTTACCTTTAAAGACAAACATCCCTCCCTGGTTTATAATAAAAACAGGAAGAGTAAAAGATTCAGAAAAATAAGTGGGGACTAAATGCACGACCAAGTTGTATACTTTAATACAACTCCTATGATACTGGAGAGAAAAATCAATGTTCAAACCTGTTGTAACACACTACTTCTGTCATCTGGAGTGGCTTCAATGGTATAGTTTTTTACAGCTTTCTGCAGAGCCTCAAATCTTGAAAACACCTTTGCCTGTCGTATCATAGTTTTCAAAACATACATGCAAATCATAAAAAATATTGTCCTTGAAAGATAATAAGCGGAAAAAAGGAAAGAAACATACACTAGCTGGATTGAAGAAAGTTCGACCAAGTCCATAGTATAAGCCCAACACATCGTATGCCTATTACAGAAGAGGAAGTTAGAGTTATAATCACCAGAATAAGAGATTCGCCAATTAAAGACATCCAATGTAGAACATTTATTACCTTGTGATCAGGCCAAAAAAAAAATTATGAAATTTATTACCTTGCGATCAGGATCAGCATAAAGGCTATCCATTGGAAATGGTAACTGAACATAGGACAGCACGGGGAAAAGAATCAGCTCCAGGGATCAACATAAAGCCATGGTATCAGGATGCAAATATATAATAAAGAAATTGCAATGACAGATCTGAACATTTAAGGAGAATTACAGGACTTTATGTTGTATAAACTTATTCAAATGTCATCATGTCTTTAACTCAATTGAAAAAAAAGAAGATAATCACACATTCAGCTATAACTTGAGCAGCCAATTTTCTCAGCAAATAATGTCATAGGAACTTCATTACAGCAATACATGACCTATTACTTATGCCAAACTCCAGTATTCTCAACATGGGGATTCTAGTACTTGTTACTTAAATAGCTAAGGACACAAGCAAACTAGTAATGTCACAATTTGGTCCTAGTAGCTGGAAATAGCTTTCTCCAATTCGAAAGCATATAAACAAGTATGATCAACCACTATCATGTCACATGGCATGCTTATTTAAAAGTAGGACCATTGTATGATTGTATGTGTGAATGAGACTTCACCAAATGATGTTTATTTCTTTTTGTCCAATGGTTCCTAACATTTGGAACCTTCAAACATATAAAGAATATCAAGTGATCAAATCATTCAATCATGTTAATATATCATCAACTGATCTGTGTCTTAAATAAACAAGTCACATGACATGATAGTAGCTGGCCATATGTGATTGCATGCTTTAGACCAAGAGAGTCGAGAAACCAATGTATGGGTCATTACAATTTTATCGGCATATTAGATTGTGTCATACAAGTCTCAACTCTCCAAGGCTTAATACAGCTTAAGATTCATTGAAGGCTCATACACTCCCTTACTTTTCCGCTCCCAATTGACTGTTTATTAGATAAAGGCATAACTGCAGTTACAAAGATTCAATTTTCTGAACCAGTATTAATTGACATAACTAGAAGGATTTGGTACAACGGACACAAATGAAACTACATATTTTGACACACATCTTCAACCTTTAAAAGATGAAATTTACTCATCTAAGAGTTGAGAATGCATCCAACACCAAAAAAGAAAGAAAAATAAAAGACAATAATCATTTTATTGGGAACATTAACTGCACATTGCACGAGTATTGTTTCCTGTCATCTCTCTCAACATTCACTCTCCCTCTCTAGGCAAAAAAACTTACCTATAACGGGGATAGCATTGTTTTGCTATCCCCGACCAATAACACAATGACACGTGGAAAAGTTATCCTACATGTCATTGCGTTATTGGCCGGGGATAGCAAAAAGTGCTGTGCTATCCCCGTTGCATGAGAGTTTCTTTCCTCTCCAAGAGGAGGTTGAATGGTCAACATTTGATTTGGAGAATATAGTGGGAGGGAGAGGAAGAGAGTTAGAAACAGTTAAAGTATAAAGAGACAATACAAGAATCTTTTACAGTGCAAACATTGTTCCCAAAAAAATACTATATAAAGGAATTTTTTTGTCAGGCACACTTCCAACCTTTAGATAAAAATCTGATGGTTGAAAATATGTGTCAAAACGTTTGGCTTTATTTGTGACCCATAAACGAGACCCTGCATGAGTTGTTACTGTCAAATGGCTTTTTGATTTGATGGTGAGAGAACTAACATACTTAACATAACATCACCACTTATTTTGAGATGTTCATGTATCAGCCAAAAGGATTGGAACTATTAGCTAAAAATATTATTATCTCATTCCTTAATCCAACATGTCTACTGGTCGTATGTCCACTAGCATGTTCCTGAGACATATCCTATAAAACCGTATTCCATTTAACACATCCCCATTTTCTTGTCATGCGATATCTGATTTTGATACTTACTATACAAGCATTCAAAGTATAAATATGACCCTAAAAGATGATAGCATGGAATACAGCTCTATGTACTGCAGCTTGAGAAACATTGTGGTGGCAAAAATGGTAAAAATAAGATACCCGTTCTGCAAGGATACGAGCTTTATCAGGACTACCAACACCAACTGCAATTATTTTCACACCAGCTGAATCAAATCTAGCTTTAGATTCTTTTAGAGCCGAAGCAAGTTCCCAACTGAAAAGAAGAAGCAGAAGAAGTAGCACATCATAAGAACATCCAGCAATTCAGATAAAACCCATTCTAGAAACTGGTTTGGAGGCTAGTTACCAGCAAGGGCATCCAAAGTGCCTCAATAGTGCAACAACAGCCACCCCCTGGAACAAATTGAATAAGAAGCAACTTAGAAACTAATACACCACATCAGATCAAGCAAATACACAACTCCATAATAATTATTACACATATTTACATGTACCTCTACAATTGCATTGCTACCTAGTGGTTTGGGAGGTGTCATTACACTACCTGAGGTTTGCTCTGTTCCATTTTACCTTCTAAATGCATCCTTTTTGTATGAAAAATAAAAGCAAAATCCAACAACAGAAATCTCACAGGCGCAATACAAGATTGCATCTTTCCAACCCAAATAAATACAATTCGCAAAAGGGTTACTCCGAAAGGAATTAAAATCACAAGCAAGAAACAAAATCATTGCCAGAAAATGAAATTTGATAAAAGTTTACTCAGTGAGAGAGGGAAAAAGTAGAAAAGCTACCTCGTTCAGATCCCAGAGGTCTTTGAACTGGACGGAATCACCAGCAGCGGTGAAAATGCTAACGTCACCGAGGACCTCACCGATGCTGGGGCTGAAATCCAAAGCAGATGTGTTGGTGGAGGCTCCGGAAACGACAAGTCGTCTGGAGCTATAATGTGTTGTTGATTTTGGGGAGCAGAAGAGGGAGGGAGAGTGTGGAGTGTTAG